AAGGAAGGAAGGAAGGAAGGAAGGAAGGAAGGAAGGAAGGAATTAGCAAGAAGGATGTGTGGAAAAGGCAGGCAGGTAGACCCAGGCGAGGGGGTGTGTTTCTGGCGAGGCCCCAGCCTGGAGGGAGCCAGAGGGACTGGGAGTGATTGGCGGAGGGCTGGGAGGAGGGGGAAGAGGAAGGGAGCATCGCCAGATGGAAGGATGAATGAGTAGATGGCTAACGAGGGGAGGCATAAAGGGATTTCGAGAGCCCTCTGTGCAGCAGGTCGGCAATCAGCGAAATGGAGCATCTGCCCCAGGAAGGATCAATCAACGGATTAATTGGGGTGTGTGAGAAGGGGGTGGCGGGGGAGACAAAACAGGCCAACAAAGGGGAAGAAAGGAGAACGTCCAGGGGGGGGGGGGGGGGGGGGGGGGGTGTCCCCAAGCTAAGCTGCAATTCAATTTGCTTGGTTCCAGCTTAGCAGCCGGTTGTGAATCTGGCCCTTGGGGCCTGTTAGCCCTGGGGTGCCGTGTGAACCCAGCCAATTCTGGCTGACAATACACCACAGTTAAAACATGGCTTCCTGGGGGGGTGGCCATCTGGCGAGGGATGTGGAAAGAGCCATAAAAAAGTCAGATTGGCAACGGTTTGTCTGGCCTTCCCTATCTGCTGGAGAGCTTGCACAATCGGTGGAAATAAAGTATTCCAAGGAGATAGAAAGCGCCCCATGAATGGAAATCCCTGGAGGCAACTCAAAAAAGTGAGCCAAGTTGCATCCCAGAAACCCAGTCTGGAAGATTTAATGTAAGAATCATGGAATACAGAAAAACACAATTGTGCTGTGACTGGAATTGCTTACCGTATTAGATTATGTTTGATTTAATTTGTGTCGAGTCTGTTGTGATCCCTACTGTTGTGGTTTCTATAAAGTCTGAACACAATCTGAGTGAGATCAGTGGGTACATACAGAGGAGCAAAGAAGATGGAGACCAGGATGAGAAACGGATGGATGGATCGATGGAAGGAGACAGAGACATTGCAGACCAGGTTTATCCAGGGTTTAAACCAGGTTTAAGCAGTATAATTTTCTGAAAAGCAAAAAGTGGGAGAAAAGAAGGGGTGGAAGAAAAGATGGATGGGCAGAAAGAGGGCTAAAATACAGTATTGAGGAAAGACTGGGAACGGATAGGGCTACTTTTACAACAAGAGTGCAAACGCACGATTGCTCAACTGACTGCCCAAACAGGGTGCCAGGAAGAAACTGTAAACTCAGGTTCTTTCACGGGGAACGAAGTGGCAGCGAGTCAACGCGTGCAGGGACTGCCTCCTTCATGGATACTTTTGCACAAGCCGGGATGGGCTGCCAGGAACGGCAGCAGCAGCATGTGCCGGAGAAATCCCTCTCTTTAAAGATGCTGATTTAGCGGCTCCATCTAATTAGGCAATGGGGGAGAATTATACCGTTAGTCATGGGTGGGAGGATGCTAATGAGGCATAATTAATGCCTGCCAGAAAGCGAGGAAGGCCCCCCCCAGCTCAGCCCGAGACACAGCAGATCAGGGTGAAGCGGGGCTGTGGATCACGCCGCAACGTGTGAACGGGGGCACCGACCCGGGTTTGCACCCTGCTTGGATTCCTTTTGTGCCCCTGGATTCGAGGGAGGGGAAAACAACCCCCTGGATGCGTTGCTTGGCTCTGCTGGAGAGATCTGGCCTCCCCTCCCACCCTGATCCTCCCTGGATCCACCCAGGGCTGGTCCCTGCCAGATTTCTGATCCCTGGGCAGGGCAACAGGCTGGATCTAGTCCAGGGGAGAGGCTGCATGTCTGTATCCGCAGGTTTAAGCCACCAGTGGATTAATCCGGAGTGGTTGTGTCTCTTTTCAAATGCCATCGCAGCCTTGCGGTTCTCATGGGTGAAACCCACGTGGACCAGGGCCTCCCGGAAAGGCTTTGGGGCAGTGTTTCTCACCCTTGGCGATTTTAAGATGGGTGGACTTCACCTCCCAGAATCCCCCAGCCAGCCATGCTGGCT